CTGATCAGCGCCTGCTTCCACAACGGGGCGCCCAAGCGGGCCCTGGCGGCGCTTGAGGAGATGAAGACCTGGAAATACTGCGATGGCCTCTTGGCTTCAGAGCGGCGTCGAAGCGCACTTCGGACTGCGACTCTTGGACTTTGAAGGCCCCGATGCCGGAACTTACGAGCAGCTCATCGAGCAGCTCGTGAAGGCGGAGCAGTGATCGGTCGGCAGGTGTCGCAGATTGAAGCAGCGGAGATGGCTTGGTGAAGAATCTGACTAGTCCGAGGCATGCTAGCAACTGTGATAGACTTCCAAAACGTAGATCAAACCAAGCGGTGGCTTTGGCCGCCGCTGGTTCTGAGTCAATCAGAAGAGTCTGGAAGCGTGGGCTCGGGCTCCGGAACAGGCTAGCTTTATGCTTTCAGGTCGATCAGTTGTAAAACTTGCTTCGAGGCCTCCGCTGGCCGTTTCAACATCGCACCAAGGTGAATCCCCTGAATCCCAAGCTGGACCGAGTGCAGCTGGCAAAATCCAAGCTTTATGAGGGGGTGAGGGGAAAAGGGGTGGTGGGGGCTTGGATCTGGAGTGGACAAATTGCGCAACCTCACCTTCAGAGAATGAACACTGCGACGCAGGCGCGGCTTGTCCCGGAGGCTGCTGCGGTTGCCCAGGAAGCCGTGGCACTGGCTTGCAGCCCACGCTCGGGCATCAAGCCGTAGCTGGGATGCACTGTGAGAACTCGCGTGGTCTCTCGGATTTTAGTGCAACTGAAGCGAGGCTGAACACTGCGGTGTGGCTGCCCCAGGAATGCAGGAACGCAGCCTATGGTCCTGTTGCAGGCCGTTGCGTGAGAGTCTCCGAGGCTGAGAATTCTGCAGCGAAGCTTGGAGCAATGTGGCCAGGGGAGGCTTTGGAACCCCATCAAGGACTCGACCTCGCGTGGATTTAGCAGCGACCTGTCTTGGGTTCTCCTCGCTTTGGTGTTCAGGCTTCGTTGCAGTTTCGGGTCAGCCTTGAGGCGTGAGGATCACGCAAGTGACGCTTTGTGCCAACAGAAAGATGCAGCGAGAGGCGGAGAGCGCGAGAAGTCGGTATGTACATGCATGAAGCACGTGCGACACTGGCAGCAGCTGTCGATTGCCTTAGCTGAAACTGCAAGCTCGCCTTGTGCCGGCCATGTTGGCAAGCAGGGACCAGGCTCACTGTGCTTGTGAATCTGGCGCAGTCTGGATTGCTCTTCTTGTTCCGCTGGCTGTAGCAGGGAGCACTGAGAGGAGGACCTGTGCGATTCACTCCAGCATTTCTGTCGGTGAAGCTGTGAAGCTCTTCCTGTTGCTACTACTGCTTCGTGGGAATACCTTCCGTAACTTCCCTTGCCGAGAGTCATTTCTTGGGGAACATATGCCTGGCACTGTGAGCACTGGACGGGTCTGAATGTTTACACCAAGACGCACACCCTTAGCAAAAGATAACTTAGAAAAAACAAAAGGTCTGAAGTCAGGATCGCCAGCCGCTCGCAACAGCTCCTCGATCGCTGCAAGAGAGAACGACTGTCCTGCTGCCGCGCAGGTATGCGCAGGTAACTTGCACTGCGTGGATTCAAGTGCACAGAACAGAAGCTCGCGGCCCTCAGCGATCAACTTCTGGCTGAATCACCACTGCGTCATGGCTCCCGCAGCGAACTCATTGGCCAGCTTGTCCCGATCTCTGTCCTTGAGGAACGCAAACGAGGCTTTGCGCAGCTCGGAGAGAGCCAGTGGCGGAGTGTCAGCTGCACATCTGCGCCATGGCGCGCACCGACCCGGTGAGCACAGGAAACCAGTTGCGATCCTTTCGCTGAACGCGGGGGCCATGGCCCCAAATGGCCCCAAACCCCAGCTTCGGCTTGTGCACACCGTCGTCGTCCTCATCTGATCTGACACCACACGGATCTTCTGGACCTGTGGCCACACAGCTTCCCCTGTCTGCTCCCATGGCCAATCCTCGTTACCATTGCCTGTGGAGCTGCCGGTAGCCTCGCGCGAGCCCGAAACACCCGGATGCGAAACCATCTCCCCCACCGAAGGCCGCACTCAGTCTCAGCAGCTCGTCACTCATCGTTCCCAGTGTTGCCTGGAGGGCGCTTCACCTCAAAGCACTTGTGATTGGGGTGCTGACCACCGCACCGCGAGCAGATGTGAGCAAACGACTGCAGCCTTTGTTCTTGGTGTATGCGAAGCATACTTTGCGGCTGCGATTCTTGGCGCCGTCTTCTTGACCCCAACCGTCCTTGCCGAAGCCTTTGCCTTTGCCCCCACCTTTGTGCTTCGAGAACCAGGTCCTCACCTCGCAGGCCAGTCCCGCTGCGAGCAGGGCGGCCCAACACACCTCCCATCCAGGCCTAGGGCCTAGCGCTCCATGGCCGATGTGCGCCCGTTCCGTTTATCGCACTTTATCGGTACCTCGGGCAGATCGACCGGAGAGTTCCGGTCGGCCTGTCGCACTGGGGATAACAAGCTCCCCCGCAGACGAAGGCTCCATGCATGAAGGTGTTGCTCCTGCGCGCCTTTGTCTGGTTTCCTGGGCCATACACACAACAACAGCGCTCATGGTCCTGTGCTCGGCTCTGCTGACACATTCTAGTCGATGTGCGTTTCCGTGCAGGGCCTGGAACCCTTCTTGTTCCGCCGGCTTGTGCCCCTGTAGAAGCTTTCCTCCGACTCCTGGTGGCCCTCTCGGCCGATGCTTGGACTGATGTGGCAGGAATCTGGTGCCAAAGCCGCCCGCCTCTGGTCTTGAGCCTCTGGCGCCAGGCAATCTGGCACAGGCGGTTTCTTATGTTTTCTTTCCGCCGCCGTTTTGCACCCATGCTTTCACCCCCGCTTCTGCATGCTGGACCTAAGTGCCAGGGACGGAAGGAACGAAGACCCCTCGCGAGCAGGCAAGCAGGGAGAATAGATTACTAGTAAAACAAAGAAAGCAACAGAGATGACAAGGAGAGTACGCAGCCTGCGGGTTTCAGCCCAGTCTTTTCTTTCGCTGCAAAAAACGGGCTAAGTTGAGCGGTGTTTAGCCTTGCGGTCATCGGGTAGGCATTTCTGAAAGTGGACGTTGCGCAGGATCAGCTGCAACGAGCCCGACTGCCGATGCCATAGCTGTGAGGATGATGTGCGCAGCACAGCTGCCTGTAAAGCAACTGACGCCAATCCAACCTCCAAGAGGTTGTGCCACTATGCCTGAACGATGGCTGATTGCGCCATTTCAGGTGCACTGGGCCTTGGCCGCCGAAAAAGCTGGATTGTGAAGGTCCTCCACTGACTAAGAGGGTTGGCAGGTTCAACAGGATCGAAGCGTGTGGGTTTAGGATATTTTTTCAGGTGCAGTTGTTCAAGGGAATTTGAGACCTAACGACATTGTGGTGTTCAGCCTCCCAGAAATGTCTGAGATGGTGGTAGTTTCGGACCGGTTCCTTTGGGGCTCGGGCAGATGAGTCCGGGAAGTTTGATTGCAGGACTAAGGAGACGAGGGCAAATGATCTCCAAAGAGTTGAGCAAGGCAGTGGAGCCTGCATGAGGCATGTTGATAGAAGCAGGAGAGGGTGAGAGGGCCACTTCGCGAGTCTGGACTGGTGGCTTGACCTTTTTCGGGGCTGAAGACTCTGGTTTGGAGGAAGGACCCTAAATTTCGGAGAATGAACCTTCGGCTGATACTGCAGAGACCGTTTGACTTGGGCATCAATTCCAATGGCTGGACGGGCACCGATCATTTCCCGAAGGCGAGCAGCGCAGGCATTGCGAAGTCGCTTGCGTCTCATCAGGTCATTCGATGAAGAGTTTGCATCGAAACGCTTCTGAAGGATGGAGTGTGTCGAATTTCGGGTCGGGGGGGCGGCACATTCGCTGCAACATCCCTGCCGCTAGCAACGACCGTTTTCCTCGGGCATATTGCTTTGCGGGCCGTGCAGCCGAGCTGTTGTTTCATTAGTTATTGCACCGTTCTGCCAGACATGGTCTAAGAAACTTCCAAGTCGGCTTGGAGAGGTCGGTGCTTGCACGCACTCGCATGAAGTTCCCAAGGAGCATCCGGCTGACTTTGGGCTTCCCATGCCGAAGGTAGCGAGCCACTTCGGGCTGCGAAACAACCCACGAATCTTCGTCAGAATCACTACAACCTCATTAGGACTCACTAGGAGGCAGATGAAGTTGGAAGCAATCCACTCAGCACATAACTTCTGACACGAGCTTCGGTGCGATGTTGGGCTTGGAGGAGATCCTGCCCAGTGCTTGCAGCTTACGCCCAGCTTGCAGTAACCGGCCTGCCTAACCAGCTCACAGTCAGAGCTCAAGGCCAGCCAAAGCTCCGAGAAGGAGGGGGCACTGAGAGCTATGACAGACGACCTCGGCAGAGGTGAGCGCCCAGCCAAGCGACAGAGGCAGATGCAAATCCAAACAAAGAGAGCTTTTCTTCTCCCTCTGCTCTTCCATCTCAGCTTTCTCGCTCTTTCAAGGCTGGCTGATGGTATTTCTGCCGCCGACGCTGGCAGCCGCGAGTGGGCAGAGGCCTGCTTGTGCCAGCTCTGTCAAATATTTTTGTGTTGCTGTCTCCAATCTTGAGCGTCTTGACGAACAAGATTGTCCATATGAAATAATTTGCCGCTGTCACGATACCACAATCACCACTTACTTTCAGTTTCTACATCTTTCTACTCGCATTTTGTGGCAAATAATGGACCCCGCAACAATGGCGGGCGAGCCCTCCGACCTCAAATTTACATGGAAGCCGGCACGTCACAGGCTGCCACGGATCTCTCTTGCTTCTTTCCTGTTTGTCCACTCCATGCTGTTCACATCACAGTATCTTGGTGATCAGCAAGCCACGTCGCGAGACTTGAGATGGTTTGAGGTGATTTCGGTGATCCAGCCTGCCATTGTGGCGCTCAAGGCCTGTCAGCGTCCTGTTTTGTTTACTGCACCGCCGCCCGACCTGCAGAGGTTACCTTCGTGGTGAGCTTCGAAGATGAACATGCGGCAGTTGCCATGGGAACAGGTTTTGTGGTTGACAAGCAGCGAGGCTTGATCCTGACAAACAGGCACATCACCGGTGTCGGTCCCGTGCGAGCAATAGCCATGTTCGACCGTCACGAAGAGCTGGATGCTGAAGTGATTTATCGTGATCCGGTTCATGACTTTGGTTTCTTTCGGTACGACCCATCGAAGCTGCGTTTGACGGAACCTGCAGAGATCCGCTTGGCTCCGCAAGAGTTGCAGGTTGGGACAGAGGTGCGCATCGTGGGAAACGATGCCGGTGAGAAGCTTCAGATTCTTTCAGGGACCATCGCCCGAGTAGATCGGAATGTTCCGGAGATCAACGCCGTTTACTGCGACGAGAACACTTTTTACGCGGGCGCCGGAGCCGGGACTTCGGGTGGCTCCAGCGGTTCCCCAGTCTTGAACAAGCAGGGAAATGCAATCGCCCTCAACGCAGCGGGCACGGACGGCGCAGCGAGCGCTTTCTTCCTGCCCCTCAGCAGAGTTAAGATCGCCTTCCAGCGCTTGCAGGATGGGCTTCCAGTGATGCGCGGCACATGCCAAGCAACCTTCCTTTTCAAAGCCTTTGACGAGTTGAGACGGATAGGACTCCAGGAAGAGCACGAGCAAGATGTCCGCAAGCAAGTTGTTGCGGCAACTGGAATGCTCGTGGTGGATTCCGTACTTTGCGAACAAAAACAGCTGCGGCCAGGTGATATACTGCTCCTGCTGGAGAATAGGCACTGTGTTGACTTCGTTCACTTGGAAGAGGTATTGGACGACAAGGTCGGGTGCGCGGTGGACGTGCTTGTTTGCAGAGGCTGGGATTTGCAAGGCGGTGTAGTGCTTCCACACACTTGTTGGTGTCGGTGTTTCCGCTTTGTAGGTGGGGTGGAGATAGCAATGTCCATCGATGTGCACGATCTGCACTCGCTGATTCCTCGGAGTTACGTGGAGCTCGGCATGGATGTGGTGCACGGCCTTGGCTACCATGCCGCACGGCGCTCGCACCTGCCGCTGGACAGCGGGATCTATTTGGCTCGGTCAGGATACGTCTTCGAGTCCTTGGGATGTGACTGGGGCTCTTTGATCACGTCTGCGCCTGGGCCAAACCTCCGACTGCACTCATACTCCTACTTGGTCCTACCTTGTCCTAACATGTTGCACCCTGCCCGTGAACAGAACTTCAAGCTGTGTGCATCTTCCGACATTGCTACGAAGGAGCAATAGACAGTCTACTCGTAACGTCGTAACGTGTCAGTTCATGCCGCAGAGCACATGACTTGCAAGGGCTCGTCCCAGCGGCTCCAAGCTGTCTTCGTCCGCGTCTGCTTCGCTAGTGTCCGATGTATTCCGAAAAGTGTCAGTGCGTATGTGAATGCGCAAACTCACAAGGTGGTTTGCATAAGACCAAGCAAAGGTAAATGGAAAGCCCACGCCATCACCAGAAGCATTTGCGAAAGCCATCGAGCACATTCCAGACAAGCAATATTTTCCGGTGCACTGGTACGATCTGCGAGACTTTCGCATCTTGGCTGCTTTAGCACGTCTTCGTGGGCGAATCGACGGGGAAAGTTTCAGTGACTTATAGTGACTCGCAGCTGTGGAGAATGCTATGCGAGGCATCATTGACGGACCGTTGCAAGTTGAAATCTTCCCATGTTTCAGACATTCTGTTCCGGTGTCTGCATGCTTGGAAGGCAGAGACCGTGCACTGAAGACGGGCTTCGCCAAGATGTCACGTGCTTGGTCTCCACTGAAGTTGTGGCGGTGCGCGTCTCCGGCATCCGCGAGCCCCGAGCAGTGGACCTCTGAGGCGCCGAGGAAGTCATCCTTAGTTGTGCCTTAGTTGTGCCACATGGCCTTCATGTCAGGAGCTTCCGGTGCCTTCCCGGCCACCGCGCCGACCCGAGCCCCTTGGCCGTGCTGCTATCCTTACGGGCGGGGATCGCCTCGTGCGCGCGCTGCAGACTTCGCTGGCGGGGCAGCTCCTTTTTCCTCGTGCCTTGTGCTGCGCGATGGCGTCACCAGCATGGGCCAGGTAACTGTCCGCTTCCGCACGGACCAGCGCTTCCTTACGGAGGCTTGAAAGCACCTGAACAACAGAGTCTCGCCTTCTCACGCTCGGTCCGATAAGTTCGCAGGCGCTTGACAGTGGTTCATCCGAGGGCGTGGGCTTGTTGGCGCGGAACCCTGAAGAAGTCGAAGCTCCGCTCTGAGTCCTCAGAGTTCTCTGCTCGCTCGCGCAGGTGGACGCAAAACGAGGCATCGTCCTTACGGACAGGCACAGTGCTCCACAATCCTTAGGTGCGATTGAGGTTAGGGCCTCAGGGGGTCCAGGTGCTACAACATGGTGAGCGCTCTGTCGAGCATTTTTCAGGTAACTCTCGCAGGCTGTGCTACTGTAGAGGCGGAGGCAGGATATGCCGTGGAGAACAGGATAGGGCAACAGTCAGTGTGAAAGGTGTTCTTCATCCACCCGCAGCACAACATTGTCCGGTACCAAATGCTGAGGGCCCTGCAGACCCTGCGCTGTCCCTTTCTCTTACCTTTGGGCCGAGGCTCTGCTCCGCTGCGACCCTATCGCCGTCGAGACGCTCATCAAGGGAAAGCTGCCGCTCAAATCCGCAAGGCGGACCAAACTAGAAGCGAGATTTGAAAACAACTTTATTATTACTGGTGCACATAGCCATAGCCAATCCTCGGCATCCAAGAAAGGTAGGCTGGACCCCAAGGCAAAAGGGCCTGTGGCCGCAACAACCAGCCACACGCTATCTAGGAGGGCGTGCTGGGCTGGGACATGGTATGGATCAGCCCAGATTTACTACGGCCCAGGCCCTGTCTAGCTTCCAGAAACGCACACCATTTCAGCACTGCATTTACTGTCGCGATTCGTGCGGACCTCGTTTTGCCACATTTTACAAGCTCTTGTTATGAGATCTTTGCGGCTGGAGGCTGCAAAGGGCTTGTGCGCCAAGTTCAAAGGTGCTGTCGGAATCGCCCATGTTACGTTCTCGTGCTCGAGCTGCAGAGACAGAGACCAAAAGGAGGAGGAACGTCTCACCGTCTCACGGGGCAATTGCAGCAAGCCTCTCAACGATGGGACGCCGACATGCAACGCTTGAGATCCATGGTGGGGCCTTGAAGCTGCTGAGAAGTGTTTGAGGTCCCGGCCACATTCGGTGTGTGTCTGTGTGTGCCGTCTGAGGTCTCGAAGTATTGCTGTTACGTGGGGACGTGGGGCTTGCTTGGCCTTTCGATGGGGTGTGTTCGAACCTCGGAAGTTTCAAAGCTCCGACCTAGCAGGCCCCTACTCTTCGGCCTCTCGGCATCTCTCGGCCTGTACATGGCATTTTTTGGAGGCTTTGGGATGGGGCTGGGGTGGTGTTGTGATATGGCCCAGTGTGGTTTTTCCAGTCTTCTCGGTGGTCTGTCCTGTGTTTGCGGTATCCAATACTTTGGAGCTCTCTCCTTCCCTGAAGTCTCCTACCACAGTTGCACGCTGCACGTCAAACCTTCAATACCATACGATGTTGGCACCGCCACTCCACTACGTTTCTCGGCCTCTTCGATGTAGTCCCGCTCTACCTCTTGTTTCATGGCTCTTTGGGAGTTTCGGGTGATGTCAGCGTGGTCGCGGGACTTCCTCGACTGGTCTTTGATGTTGCTTTTCACCCCTTGCACTTTGCAGCCTACACCGGCATAATTCTGCGCAAGCTGGGCGGCGGTTCTTCAGGGTGCTCATGTCTTGCCACCTTCTGGGGATTTCGTTGGGTAAGGGGTTGAAAAAGAGTCAACCACCACATCACGACAAATCATGCTTGCGGTACTGCACCCCCCAGTTGCTACAGCGTGATGTGTCTTTCCAAAAAGGGGTGGGTCCAGGATGTCAAAGAGAAAGGATTGGCACGGACCCTTTTCAAAAGTCGGCATCGCACACTCTTGTTCCAGCAGAATTCCATCGGTGTGCCGACCCCTGAGATGTCGTGGCAACGTCTGTTGACCGTCGAATCAACGTGCAGCACGACCGATGCAACACCTCTCGATAGTTTAGGATAAGTCGGTATGGATAAGGTGTCCTGCAGGGACTACGAGGACTGAAGAGAGCGCGGTTGTTTGGAAAGAAGCTGAGGTCAACAGCTTAATTACCCAATGCTAGGATTACAGGCGGATTGAAAACTTTAGCTTGCCGCCAAACTGGATGCGGAACGGCGGGTCACAATTTTGAGGTTCTTGTTGCCGGACAGCACTAAAGTCCGGCCGATACGTGAGAGCCAGCAAAGAGTTGGTTCTTGTGGCAGGTTTGCCAAAGGCAAGAAGGCTAGTTTGCGGCCCGGAGAGAGTGTTCACTTCGTTGGATTCGACAGCCAGGCAGGACTGATTTCGGTGCTTGCAATTGGCTCCATGCACGATTTCGCGAAGTTGATGTCGCTCAGGGAAATGCATTCAGTGCAAAATGCCAGGCCTAGATGTTTGTGTGCTTATCTTATGGGTCGCTTCAGCGTGGACCAACAACCTCATCGATGGATGTAGCAGGTGTCTGCCGTGTACTTACCCAGCGGAAAGGACGAGTCTGGGCCTCGTGGAAGTCACATCCAATCAGATTGGCATGCATGTGCACCCCTACTCTCGGCAGGTTCCCCCCATGGACTGTGCCACGATTTCGAGAGCGCAGTCTTGAGGCTAGATGGTGGCTGAGCTTCGTATTCCCAAGTTCTGTTTTGAGAAATGCTCTTGTCATGTGTGGCTCAAGCTTGGACGAAGTAGCACGCATTCGCCTGCCGATGCTATCCAATACCAGTGTGCAAGTTACAGCGACTCGACAGTAGTTCTGCTACCGAGCTCTCTGTTTACCATACGCCGAGCTCAGGTACATTATGCGACAAGTGGAACCGAGATTGCTACTTTCGAGCTCGAGCCGACACAATCCGCACAGGCAGACTGCCGCTGTGATGCTGTGCGCTGTTGCAGCTGGGTGATGCAGGATATCCAGCAGGAGATCTTCAGAATCACCGGCGCCCCCGCGTACAGACAACGCCTGCTCTGCGAGAGCGAAGTCTTAGACCCGCGGCGGCGACTGCAGGCATCCGTTCGTGCTTGTGCCATGCTAAAGCTCCGAGGACAGTGAGACACTGAGCAAGTGAGTGCCTTCCCCGATGGTTCAGGACCTGGGTTTTGCGAAGGAGGTCAACCTGAACCTCATTGTGCAAGATCTGTCGTTGGTCGCGACAACCGCTGTGGACGGCGGCGTCAAGATTTGGAATGCTGAGACTGGAGACTGCATACAAACTCTCGGCAAAACCCTCGGGAACGGACAGTATCAGGGTGTCAGGTGCCTTCGGTTGTGTAAAAGCCTTGCAGTAGCTGACCGGCGGAGAACCTGCTGGATGTGCTTTGGGTTCTGCCATGTGATGTGAAGGCATGTTGAGTTTTCGGCGGATGGCTGCACTCTACTGACCGCGGCGAGGGACTGCGAAGCCCGCATCTGGAATATACTGACCGGAGAATCTGTCGCCTGCCTTTGTTGACCGCAAGTCGGGGCAATAGGAACGGGGAGTTAAGATCTTCAGCACACTTTGACTTTGCAAGTTCGGTTTCTCGATGAGTTCAGAAGATACGATCATGCATCATGACCGAGACATGCATCCGTGCCTCGTTCTACATGCTCAGCTGGGAAGATAGACTTGGTTTCGCTGAGACGCCGCTGAGGGCATGTCTCGAAATTCTCGCAGAAACTTACAAGCATAAGTGGAAGTGGAAGTAGACGCGTCTACAGTCGTACTGGTAGTCGTAGTCAGCATCCAACCGCAGGTGGAGGTCCTGAGAGGGCACACGAATGCCGTTTACACAGCTATTTATTCTGATGATGGCTTCCTTGTGCTGACAGCCTCGTACGCTTCTTGACTTCGACGTGTGGAAGTAGCCCAGTCCCAGTCCCTTGCTCGTGTAGCGAGAAGTCTCCGAGTCCGAGGACCACACAGCTCGCCTTTGGAGTGTCCTTACAGGGGAGTGCCTGAAGACATTCACGGGCCACTCTGACGGAGTGGTGACCGCAATCTTTTCGCAAGATGGCCAGCACGTCCTGACCGCTTCCGTTGACCGAAGTGCAAAGGCAAGGACTTCTCATGTGCCTCGTGGGCTGAACCAGAGAAAGGATTTCCCGTGTTAGCCAGGTGTGGGACATGCAAACGGCCGAGTGTATGAAGACCTTGCAGCGACCAAGAGGCAAAGCTTTGCTGTTCCTGGCGGTTCCTATTTCATGGGTCCGCTCGTATGATGCATGCCAGGTGAAGTGGTTGTGTCAGTCTTCAGTACGGCACAGCGCAATCTAGCGCTGTCAACACTGCAAGACGGCACCGCCAAGTGCTGGATGCTCGGCAGCTTTGGGAAAAGAGTCTAAGAGAGTGGAAGGTGACAGGTCATTTCGGAACGTTGCTGAACATCATTATTTGCATGCCTTCTGAGCTGAGGAACCTCGCAACGGACGAGTGCCTCTTTTCCTTGAAGGGCCACCGCACCTATATCACCTCAGCAACACAGCCGTTAACGACAAGCCAGCAAAAGCAGTGGGTTGCCTTTAAACTACTCGTACAGTAGCTGTTGAATTGAAGTGAAATTCAAGACGAACTCATGTAAGGCAATCTTGTCACGAGATGGTCTGACGCTGCTGACGGGGTCGTGGGATCGATCTGCAAAGCTGTGGAATCTCCAAGCCTCGAAGAAGACAGCGGGGCTGCAAGAATCAATATACATGCATCCATGAGCTTTGTCTTCGGAGGGGCCTTGCGCACCTTGTTGTTTATTGATGCGGTCTGTTCTTGCAACCGGCAGGAAGTGTATTCGCACATTTTCTGGACACAGTGCCTCGGAGCGCTCCAAGACGACTTCAGCCTGCTTCAGTGGAATCGTGACTGATTAGAGTTCAGTTCCTTGTCTTGTGCGCAGCACGGCTGAGGCAATGGAGTAGTGTCCGCAGAGTTCTCCGCAGACAAGTCGCAGATCATCACGGCCGCCTCTGATGGCACTGCCCGGATATGGAATGCGGCCAATGCAGATCCTTGGCAGAGAGGGCCCCCACTGCCATCCGAGTTTCTTGTGCCTCGCATGGAGCCTGCGACTCGAGGAACCTCTTCGTACACTGAAAGGGCATGGTGCTGTCATCAACCATGCTGTTTTCTCACCCAAGTAGGTCGGCAGTCTTTCTTGCAAAGGTCCGTTGAGACATGAAGAATGCTTTTTCTGCTACTCGTACCAGACAAAGTGTCAAGCTACACGTGTGCGACTGCCGAGAAAGACTTTCTTCGGCCGTTGAGTCGTTTTATTTTCTGCGAAAGTTTCACCCAGCCGTAAATGTTGAACCATCTGCTTTGCGAGAGTACCACGATTTCGTAACTTTCTCGCAGCTGCACAGATGAGGCCTCATGGCGAGTTTCATTTAACTCTTACTTCTGAGAGATGCGGATGTGAGAGAGATAAAAAAGCTGCACAGAACCTTGCCAATGCTCCGTTGCATCGAGCGCATCTTTGCTGTGGACCGCAGCATTCGCACTGTTGCGTCCATGCAGATCGTTGTCCTTTCGGACCCACCCGAAGATGCCAGAGGGGGTGTACTCTGCGACTCGCGCCAGCACCTTTGTACTGGCCCGCGCGCCACAGCAAAAAAATTCGTTCTCCACGCTGTGCTCCGCTGAAGGCGGAGAGGTGCGAGCACTCTTCGCATCGTTCGATTTCCAAAGCGCCAGACGAGAGGCAGAGGCCCTAAACCTGAAACTGTTGACGGGAACTGGGGATCAGCTGCAAGCTGCTTGTTTTCAGCTACAGTGCAGCTACAGTCCCGCAGGAGACGACCGAGAACTTTGGAATTCCGGCCAGCGTTTTCTTGCCGTTGCTGGAAGTCCGGGACTTGTACAGCATGCCGCCTTGAGAAGTTGAGACGGCTGCACTTGCTCAGGGCATCAAGAAGAACCCCAACAAGGAACCCGAGGCACGCCTTGAAAGTCGGTTTTGGAAGTTGTGTTCACCGTGAGCAGTGTTGAATTTCCTTCGATAGACATGGTCCGCTCGGTCGGCTATCTGATATCTGCAACAAGTAAACTGAGTCAAACAACCTTCTGGCTTCATGGCTTCATGTAATGTCTCTGTCCAAAAGGTCGATGCCTAAATAAAGTCGGATTGCATTAAGTTGCACTCCGAAATGGGGTGCTGCTGTGAAGGTCAGATCTTTGGATGTCGAGGTGTCTGCTGCTGGCTCAGTGCAACTGCTGGTATGGTGCGCACGCGTCGCACGCAGTCAGTGACATCCAAGGCAGTGGATTTGGCAACACTGGCCCGCGGGTCCCCCAAGCTGCCCAAGCCATGGGCGGAGGCAAAACCCGATGTTAGACCGCGAGACGGCAATTGACGGAAGTGGCGCACTGATTGGCTCGGGCGCGTCGCACTGCGTCGCTGTGGTCAGGCTGTGCGGAAACGCTGCGGCCAGCAGGGGCAAGTGGTCGGCAACTCGCTGCTATTTTGCTGCGAGCTTGGCTTTTCGGGCCTTTCCATGTGCTGAGGCCAGAGCCATCTGCGTTTGCCGCGTCCTGTCCACCGGTGTCTCGAACGGCTTGCTCCTTCCGGGTGATGTTTCAGCCTCGGACACAGAACAAGTCTTCAACACCCAGAGTGACGCTGCAGCAGTGCAGGTTCTTCTGAGTGTTGCCGGCCGGACAATAACACAAGCGCTGGATGTCGAGGCGACGAACACGTGCCATGAGCGTCAAGCCATCGTGCCACATGACCTGCATCTTCCTATCAAGCCCAGACCTGAAAGGAGGCTTTGATCCCAAAGAAGGAGAGGCCATCAAGCCGGAAGAGAGAGCGATCCGAGGACTTCAATGCACATCAGCTGCCAAACAAGCCTCGCGGAGCTGCATTGAAAGTTTAGAGGAGGTCTTGATCGCGTTTCTTCGTGATGGCAAGGAGGCGTTTGCGAAAGTGCATCCTTTGCTGCCATGCTCCACGCACCTGAGAGCCAGCTGCAGGCCACGGTGGCTGTCAAGCCCAGCATTTTGGGTTCTGAGGACCCTGCTTGAGTTCGAGATTGTGGTGCTGTAGCGTGCAATGTGGCGCCAAGTTTGATTGAAAGCACCCATCCTTGTTTCCTTCGGCTGCTACAGCCTCTGGCCGTTTGTCTTGCAGCGTCAGCTCAAGCCCACATGGCTGAGCTGGGCCACCGTTGCCTGAGATGACATGTTTGCATTTCGTGACGAGGAAGCAACAAGAGGTGCCGACCATGCTGTCATGCCGTTGTGCTTTGTTGGCCATGGCTCACGACAATTCCAGCTGAGGCTGTGCTGTCTCTGCTCTTCAGCCTCGGTGCTTGCAAGCAATTCGGCGTGGCTGCCGACGGAAGTTTTCTGGATGAAGGCTCCCACCCAGCAGAATTGCAACGAGCTGTGTCTCTGCTTGGCATCCTCTTTGCCAGGTTTGGCGGAAGCTGGGGATAGTACGTATCTTTGCTGCAGCTCAGCCGCTGAAGGCGACAGTGCAACTCTAGAAGACCCAGGTCGACAGATCACATTGTGGAGGTGCGGAGGGTGTCACGGTGTCACTTCGTTGTGCTCGCCGTTTGCTCAAGGCAGCACTCGCCTTCGCACTGAGCCAGGCTCTCCACAACAGCCGAGTCACGAAACCTGGGTTCTGTGGTCAGTTGCAGCGCCTGTGCAGGATGGGCAATCTGCGAGCCTGAAGTGCTTAGGACCTGCGGTTTTCCGAAAGCGCTGAACTCTCATGCCGTCTAGACCCATGATGCCGAGCCTTTCGTTGTTGAGACGTCGCGGCAGGAACCATGATGAACTGCACATCTGAAGATCCTTGCAGTCAAGGTGGGCACGGCGCGGTCTCCCTGCAAATCCCTGCAATGCTATCTGCAGAGTCTCTCAGCCATGAGTAGCCGTGAGAGGATCTTGCGTGAACGTGTACCACAACTGCAAATCCGGGCTGGGAGCTGGCGTCTTCTCGCAATGCGGAGATTCCGAAGGCTCTGGCACCTGCCAAGCCGAGGCCAATTGTCACCTGCTCGCATCGGGCGCGAGTGGCGTTGAACAACAGTACTTCGTAGGTGGAGTCGCAAGCTTGGGATCCAGGTTATCTGGAATGCAGAGGAGCGCATCTTCTGGGCGCAACCTGCGATCAAAGAGTTGTGAAGAGTGGCCCTGACTGCAACAATGGTGCCTCAGCTTCCATACAGAAGCGAGATGTTTCAAGTCATTTCTTGAAGATCTTGAGTTCAGGATATGTCAAGGCTGGCGGCCTGGGAATGGTGCCTCGAAAGCATGGTGTGACCCAGTCGTAGTCCATACTGTAGCACCTTCTGGATTCTACGTAAGATTCTACTTCGCATCCTGTTGCACGCTCTGCAGGCATGTACGGTTGATCCAGCTGCTTGGCAGGGCAATGTTCTGAGGATAGTTGCCCCAGAGACAAATGAGCCCATGCTCGGCTGCCGATCTGCTCACTGCTGGACTGAAGGAAAATTCGACGAGATGCATCGACAAACATCCTTGTGCTTTACCCGCAGGAATATGAGGCCAGCGGCGTTCTCGAGCAACAGCTGGTGCGCTGCGACTTGAGTCAGGATGTGCTTAACGGCAGGTGCCGATTCAACATCCTTGTCAACTTTGCCGACGACTTCGCCGACCCGTGCATGTCTCGGAATGAAGCAACACTCCGAGCACAGCCAGCATTATGCGTGCGTCTCTAAGGCCAAGGATCAAACTCGGGTACGCTGCTTTCCAAAGTGACCGAAGACACAGCGTGCAGCCCGAGTTGCACCTTTTTGAACATGTCCATTGCAGTTCCGAAAGACCGGGTGCATGAAGATGCACGGAGCAAATCGTTGCCTCGACAAAATCTCCACGCTGACGTCTTGTATGATCGTATTCATTGCTTCCGATCCGAAGCGCACCTTACTTCATCCCGCGAGGATGATGCCGACTTGCTTATCTGGGCAGGGATGGTTCTTCGAAAGACGCCAAGGCAGATCACGCCATGCTTTCTCGCTCCTACAAAGCGTCAGATGTCCCTGTTTTCTGCAGTGCTGTGTGCGCTGCTTGAGTTGCTGCTATGACTGGTACGGGACTCTTCGGAGGTGCATTCTGGAGCGATGTGGCGCAAGTATTGCCCCCAGGGCAGGAGGCGTCTTCGTCCAAAGCATCCTGAACGGCTCACCGGCCGAGTCCCGGGAGTTTGCCCCGTGGGACCCCCAGGAGATCCTGGGTCCTAGAGAGTGCGAGAGAAACTTCAAGACGCAAGGTATTGCTTCCTTATGGAGATGGATGGCCAGCCCATACGACAGCTCAGCCGCCCCGCTGCACAGCCTCTCCAGTAGTGTGCGCGACTGTGAACTCAGAAGGTGATGTTCTTCTTCACGGCCAGCTCGACAGGCAGGGCTGCAAATGGCCACCGGCGGCTGCGCGCTTTGTACACTCGCATCAGAGAAGGAATGGGCCTGCACATGGGTGGGTGCGGCTCCTCCTCCTTGACATGAACGGACAGGAGACAAAGCGCCCTTATTTCTGAAGCAAGCTTCGTTTTATCGAATGCTTGTGGCGAGGAGCAAGTCAGAGCTGTCCAACGCGATCCACTCTTCTTCCCGACGATGACGCTGCACCGGAGCCGGCTCCTCAGTTGTTGAGACATGGCACGAAACCGCCAGAGCATGATAGTATGCAAGGCCCGCAGTGCTGGCGTTGCACTCAGAAGGGCTGACCAGCTTTGGTGGGCTCAGAGCATCTGCAACAGTGGGAGCATCCTGGGGCCGTGAGACTGCTCAACAACGGACGCCATCAGCAAGCCTGCGCTTGGGTCATCATCGCCGCATGCCGCGTGCCCGCTGAACACAAGCGGGTCGCTGGAGGCAGATCTCTGTGCATCTGCTCGGGTAGACTGTCCGAGTGACACAGCAGTGGGAGGGCTGTTGAGTCCTGTCGTGGACGTAGTGCTGCCAGCGACCCTTATGCAGGCTTCATATGCTCATCGACCAAAAAGAAGTCCACATGGCCTGATAGACAGGAGCTCGGAAGTAGGACGCTTCCAAGTCCGCACGGTTGGGCCGGCACGGTCGTGTGGTTGTCTCTTTCTGAGCGGATGCGACATTGACGGCTCTGAGCATTACATCATGCAATCTGGAGGTATGCGGTTCCATCTGACAATCCCCCAAACTAGCAATAAGACTCACATCGTGTTTCCATGCAGCAGCAAAGTTCCAGTAATTAGCAGATGCCCATCTACCCAGAGATAGACGGATCCTCTTTCAACGGATTTGTGGTATAGCCACCAAATGGGATGGACCTAGTCGATTTCAAGTGATAGCCTGTGCCATCATGGTTGTCGACAGCAGCTCGCCCAGCATCGTTTATCGAGGATGCTTGCATGGCTCCATCATCCAAGTTTGGCTGGCCTTGCACTGGTGAACCTAGGTCCAGGCGCATTGATTCACGGATTTCGCCTTGGGTCTGTCGTGGAGGCATGTGTCGCGTGCATGCGTGTAAAGTTACTGCCCCAATCTGACTCTGACGCAGCGCTGACGCAGTCCACACATCTAGCAGCAAACTGGCATGGAGGTTGATGGTGCATCTTTCAACGACAGGCTTGGGCAGCGAGTGCACTTGCAGTGTCCACTGCTCCCTTTGCAAGGCTGGGCCAAGTAGTGGCTTTCTCCGAGAAGGAGACCGATTAAGTTGGGATCGCGAAAGGCTTTCGATTCAGAGTCTTCCAGACTTCGAGGATGGGGTCTTCAACGTGACCCTGCTCAATGGCTCCACTCGCCAGGTCCGCATGCCACCTGTTAAGGTGGAAGATTACGTCGTGTGTTTTTGCTGAAGCCTGCAAGTAGGCATGCCGTGCTAAGCCGTGACTATGCGTTGCAATCATCGGGTCAACTAGGCACGGCCGGATCAGATGAGGCAGAGCGAAGGTCCAGCTCCTGTGTGCGGCAGAAGCGATTTGCTAAGCACAGCAACAGCGAGGCAGAAGACCTGGACACGGCTCTGCAGGCTTCGATGTGCTGCTGGGCCCGAGGCGAGGTCTGCAGCTCCGTGCTCTTCATAGCCTTAGTAGTCTTAGTCTTTGCCTTACCGCTAGCGGTCTCCGTTGGATACTCCTGCGATTATACAGTATTTTACATCTAGCAGCCGATGCAGGCATCGACAGGACTTCTTGGCAGAAGAGGCAAGGCAGAGCCGAGTTTTACCGCATATGACACATTTACACTGCAGTTCCTAGGACTTCTAAAACTTCTAGTACAGTAGTGCCTACGATGAAGGCCAACGATTCTCTTCCTTAATGGCACCGCACCGAGTGTCGCAGGTTGCTACCTGCCTGGTAGAGAAGGGTTTTTGCGTGCGCGTCCCAGTAGAATCGTTGGCCCCGCGTCTCTTGGATCAGACGGGATGGGACCTTTTCTCCTTTTCAGCTCGGCTCTGAGGTCTTAAAGATGTGCCAACCGCAGCAGGACCCGAAGCCAAGCGGTCGCTTTGACGGCGTCATTGCCATGCTCCACGCAGGAAGTTGAGCAGGCGTTTGACTACGTGAAGAGCTTGGCCCAGTAAGCCTCTGAGTCTAAAAGCAGCCATCCGAAAAGGGAAATGATGCGGGTGCGGCTGTGCCAGGTCTGGGAAGCTCGATCGGCTTCCGGAAGAGGTGGAGGAAGGCTACCTCGGTGAAGGTGCCAGGTGCCAGGGCCGGGTTCGGTGCCATCTCCACAGCGCGCAGACGCAAGCTGCGAGCGCTCTTTCCGCAGGGCGCGTGTTGCCTGGATGGACCCAAGCGATCGGAACTCGTTGCAGGATGCGGTGTTTTCCCTTGTGCTCTGGATGAAAGTTCTGCTTGCTAGCCCTATGTCGGTGCCCGTAGCGTTGTGGCTTCAGCGGAGCTTACCAAGCACCTAACAGGTTCGCAGCTTTGTGCAGGCTTAGATTCTTAGACTTCTGTCAGTTCTGGCAGTAGAGAGAAATTCATACTGGAGCATGGCGCGAGCAAGCTGATGCTCGGATTTGGTGAAGCTTACAACAAAGGCATTAGTTTGGTCTCGAGAGCTCCATAATATGCAGGCCGCCTACCACATGCTGAACATTTCAGTGAGATAATGGCAATGGAGCTGGCTTCAGTGCAAACGCTCCTACAAGTAGCTTGGCGAAGTAATTAATAATCTCGAGACTGGAGCGTGCACACCAACTACTAACTCCGTGGATAGTAAGGAGGGCCAGGCTGGTTGTACAGTTTTCGCCGCTTGTGATTGTTGCCCCTGTGGTTGTCAAAGTAGGTATGTGTGGGTAGGTATTCAGTGGGCGCGGAATGCGTGACTATGCCTGGCTCGAGCATTCAGTCCTGCAGGCATGTGACGGAGATGATGAGGTGGATACTATGTCACGTGATGTGAGCCTGTGCCATTGCTTAGGCTACACGGGTTCGATGATCTGCAACCTACCTGCGAAGAACTTCTGAGCAGGACGGCTTCATAGAGGAAATCCACGCGGCGCTCTCTGGCGGGTTCCAGAGTGCAACTTGTCAGAGACTTGCTACTCTTTCCGCAAACCCTGTCTGCAATGAGTCTGCATTCCTACTTACACCAGGCTGTAAACTTAGGGCTGTGCCGCTATGGTACTGCTGAGCAGCACGTACAGGTTAGGACTTGGTTTGGGATGCTATGTTTTCGTGTGCCGCAGACGGGCCTGTTTGTGTGCATCCTTTCCGAGCTTGTGCTCTCAGGCACGCGCTGTTTTAGAAAGTGCAAAGGCCTGCGACTCAGCTATTCCGGGAAGCTTTCGGTGCAGCATCTTTGGCGATTTCTAAGGCCAAATCTGCAGGTGCGTTTGGTGAGAGCTCCTGGCACTGTCTGTCCGGTGTCGGCGAGCCTTTCTCCAAAGTCGACCTCAGCAGCCAGGTTTGCTTTGCGATGTCTGGTGAAGCTGGTCTCGGCTCCAGTTGCTCTGCGCTGAGACCTGAGAGCTGTCTGTTGAGAGCATTGCCTTGCGGCTTCTGTCGAGATGGCCTGACGGCTTCGTTGCAATCCCTTGTGCTTCTCCTCGTGGCTCCACTAGCTTCTGCATCGTAGCGTCCTACCCGCAAGCAGGGGCTACTTCATATCGGTATCGGGAGAATCTACTGCTCCTACAGGCAGAAAGGCATTAACATTGACTTCTGTTCACGACATCGTTTGACGACGTTTGCCTTTTGCTTCACGTGCATGTTTGGCGGCCCCTGCAGCGGGCCAGGCCTGTAGCAGGCCTTCCCATTCCGGCCTTCCTCTCTTTGCCACTCTGAGTCGATCTTAGCGCAGGGGCTATGGGCCAGTGCCAAAGCACCGATGTGGGAGCGGACACGCTTCTGGAGGTGAGAAGAGACTCCGCTGAGCTTGGGCCTAGCCGCCTAACCCTTGATCCCAGGAGGAGGGTGCCAGCAGTTTGGTCTGCCGATCCCAGGCCGCTAGCCGCTAGTGTCAGCTTGGAAGAGACGTGCAAACTCGCCCTGAAGAGGCCAGAACCTTCCCACCTGTTCCGGGAAAAGCAACAGCCGCCGCCTTAGCACGTCAAGGCTCAGGCCTGCTCTACAGCCAGAACTTGCTCGAAGCAACTGCGAGGTGCTGGATTACGCATCTTCTGCATCTACTGCTGAAGAGTGCGCTTTCTTCCTGGAACAGGCCTTGTTTGACATCTTCGGGGATGCCGCCGGGATGTTCGTTGTACTTGGAGCTATACGGCGCTCAGTTCAGTCAAGGGCAACAGGCCTTCATTGACGGAAGGCAGCCGTCGATCGTCTGCGCGTCATGCAGTCCACTGGGGGCTCAGCTCATGCGTGTTCTGCGAATTTCATGCTTCGGGACTTTGGCGGCGGAAGGGAGAAAGATGTCAAAACATGTCAGAACAAAAACAGCGGGTGATGACCACGCAAGCCGATGCTGCAATGAGCGCACGTAGCCGCTCAGCCACCACACCGTGGCCAAATCGATCTTGGAGGTCTTCCTCCAAAGTGACATGTTCGGCTCGGGAATGCTTTCGTTTTTCTGCGGTGCAGCTGTGCAACATCATGCAATATGTTGTACAAAGGCTCTACAGCAGGCTATAGAGTCGAGGAGAACCAGCTTATGTTGCAGGTTGTAAGCGTTCCTGGTATTGACGACGCAATGCGCGCCTGTGCTCGAGCCTTGGAGCATCCTTGAACCCTTCCTTCTGGATGCTTGCTAATTTGGATTTCTTACTCTCAGGCTTCGAGCCGCCTGCCATACGTTCGGGTGTGGGTCGAGAGCGGTGGCAAGATCCTGGGAGAGGCGCGGTGCCAGGACGTTACCTTGATGCTCCAAATTTTGCTGGTGCACGTCTCAGGTTGCTGAGTGGCCTTCCCGGCCAAGCAGCCACCCATCTTGGTCGATTGCCCAAGTTTGTGGACACCGTGTCAGTGCTTGAAGGGTAAGAGCAAGAGCTCCCTGTAGAGGGCACCCGGTGGACTCGAGCCAAGGTTCTCTGCTCGAAAGCTGGGCTTGCGAATGGTCGCCATCTCAGGATATCTCGGGATCGCTTGCGCTGCGCACGAAGAGGGCATCGGCGTCGCCTTGTAAGGCCGCCGCGGTTTCGGCAACCTTGCGGATAGAGCCACTCGATGTCATTCAGACTTCATCCACGGGTGTTCCTTGTACAGCTCTCCTTTCTTTTTTTGGTTTCTTTTTTAATGTGGTGAGTGCGATGACGACACCAAGGGTTTGTGACGGGAGCACCGTCCTGGGTTCTGCCCAGACGGACATGAAGGCATCGTGAGTGTCTGGAGCTCCGGGAAACATTTCTCTTGACCTGTGTCTCAAGGACTTGAGAGTGCACCAAAGAATAGAACTTGCCGCTGACGTGCGGCCAGGACGTTCGGGGTTACAAGCTCTCGAAGAAGCCAAACCCAAGCCTTGAGCTAAGCAGGAGTGCAGAAGTCCTCCGTGGTCTTTCAGATTCTCGACTGCCAAGCCGTGCCCCAAGACTCCGAATGCACACAAGGCACTTCTCCACAGTCGTCCTGCTTTGGGCAGAACAAATGTCACTCCTTGTTGAGGCAGTTTTGAGACCCAAGTCGGTGCCCACACCTCGGAGGAGCTTTGTGTCACTAAAGGGAGACCGCACAGGGAGGGCAGCGAGAGCGCTGTCCTAAGGTATTTGATTCGACATGGTGAGAGCGAGTGGAACAAGGCTGCGGTAAGGGCTGATCAGACTTGGCTCTCGCTCGAAGTGGCAGGCGCAGGGGAGCCTGAACTTACACGGGATGGTGCGCACCACGGACCATCCTCTCTCCGCCAAGGGCCGCGATCAGGCGCCGCCCGGCCTCCCGCCCCGGCTCTGTTGTGTTGTATGCTTCCCGGCAGTGATATGCCGATGCTCTCAGGAAAAATATGCCAGTTCGGAATTTATGTTCAGAAAGCTGTCATGCCCAGAGTCAGCAGTCACCGCTCGAGCCCGAAAAATCCTCATTCGCGCCTTTAGCACTGGGCCTCAAGTCCTGATTGTCTTCAAAGGTACCCCATCTCGCCAACCTGCTCTGCTCCCTTGTCTGATTCGGGACAATCCCGAGTGTTTAGACTCACGCCGTCCTCGTCGTCTGCTCAGTAATCGGCTTAACTTTCACCAGTTTTTTACATGCATTTTGGCCAGCTTTGTGGCTCTGCGGCTCGACCTCAGTTCTGCAGGTAAACTTTCATTCGGTTCACACTGCACCTGCCAGGCAGAGGCGCTGAGACATCTCTTGCAGATGGAGTTTGACAAGGACAAACCGTGAGGGAGGGACAGCAGGGACGCAGCAAGTTTTCGTGCGCCAGGCTGGTTCAGAAAAGGCCGACCCACGCGTAGCTCCGATGCTGCAACCAGGGTTGATTTTGGCTTGGTCCTCAGGGTCTTGGCGCGTCTTTTTGCTGTTCTTTCTGGGTTCATGAACTCTGACAAGGCCTCACCGCTTGGCCGAGCTTTGCAAACCGCCGTCATCGCCTACGGCCCCCTTCTCGAAAAGGCTCGCGACTCCTTTCGCTAGAGACCGTGGCTACCACACTGGGCAGGCGGAACTAGGCCGGAATGAGCTCCACCCCCAGAGCGAGTCAGCAGTAGGGAGCCGTGGAGCTGGGCAGCCGAGCTTCAGGCTAGTGCTGGCTCCAAACTGCAAGGCTCGTCTGGCTTACGTAAAGCAGAGCTTCGTGCCGCCGCTCCGCCGCCGCAGGAAAAGCAGAACTTCGGTGGCCTGGACACGGTCTGCACGAAGCTGGGTGAGGCGCTGTCGAGCGCATATCCTCCCGCTCCTGCTTGCTCCCACCGCACGACGTGGAGGACATTCTGCAGTCAAGCCAAGACGAGCCCTGGTCTTAGAGGCATCAGAAAGGGTCCACCAAGGACATTTCGCGCAAGTCACTAGCACGATAGCGACGACGATTGCTATAGCTATGGGGACCACTTGTATTGAAGTGGAGTAAGCCGGTAAGCAGGCCCAGGTGTTTCCCGGACGTTCCGTTTCAAGTGCCCTTGCAAAAATGGAATCGGCATGCAGCCTGCGGGGGAAGGCCAAGACCGAATTGCTGAGAACTCTGCTGACTCCAAAGCCAAGGCTGCGAGCTCTCTACTCAGGGCTTGAGAAGGCAAGTGCGGCGGTGCCGGCTCAGCTTTTTCCTGGACCGACGGCCCTGTAGGATAAGTTCATTGTAGACGCCTTCCGAAAGCTACGCTTCGATGTGGAGGAGGTGGGCTCGTTTCCACCTGAACGTTACTGACCAGACTGGCCAGGTCTTGGTCTATTCACTATTCCAGGCCTGTAAGCCGCGTGACAGGTGCAG